CCTTATAATACTCATCTCTCAGATAGAGTATATGCCCATACACTCCTAGCTTTGTTACTCTGGAGAGTCCTGAATAATACATATACTATGTTACGTGGATTCTATTTTCTGTATTTCACTGTATGTAGAGTATAGAAAAGCAAGGAGCTAAGAATGTTTTGTTACCCTGAGCCTGGTGACTAGAGGGACAGTTCTGCTCTTAGTTGGGATAAGTTTTAAACAAAGTTTATGGGGCTTGAAGGGAGCACAGAAGTAGATAACTTTTAGAGGTAGGTTCTGTAGGTTTTGTTTTATAACAGGAAGGGTTTGTAGAAATGCACAAAAAAAATGCATTTTTATGAGTTAATATTTGGGTACCAGCATTGTAATGCAACCACCACAATCCATTATGCTTCTTTCTTCTTAACCCTCCTCTGCCCAAGCAAACACACTAAGAACAGATAGGGCATGATGTGTGGAAGGAGTGCATTGGCTCGACTAATGGCTGCTCTGAAATGGTAAATGGGTTTAAGATGGAAATTAAAAACTGAAAGTAAGAGGAAATAGGTATAGGGGACCCAGAGTATAAGAGGGTACACAGTATATTTTAGACAGAATCTGTTGTTTTAATCGATATCATGTACTTTGTGTTTAAAAAAAACATTCTTACACCCTAATTAATCTATTTTAAATATGATGGCAAACATGTTAGTTACATCACATCCAGTGACTTGGAAAGAAATGGTAGTCTTCAGCCCCATCAGCCCGATAAGAAGTTGAGAGAAGCATTGTTTGACTTGCTTCACATTAGGCCCTATAGGAAAAACAAATTAGAGAGAGTTTCATTAGTAAGACTTTTTCACTTCTCTCCTTTGGGTATGATGGCTTGAAATTTACGTTGAGTAAAGTCATTCAATCCAATTAGTAGAAACTTTTACAGTTTTGTAAGACTCATTTAAAGAGATCCGGAGATATGTTATTGCCCATATTTCCATGTTACCCTTGACATGAAATACCCAAGTTCTTAAGGATGAATATTTAGGTCTTAGTCATAAAAACATCTGTTAACTATTCATTATCACTGGAAATATTGAATCCTTTAGAAAACTTGCCCTTATTTACTTTCTTCCGTAGTGAGTGCTTTACAATATGAGTTTTGGTATGCAATGGAAATGCTCTTTATCATCTTCAGTTTTCATCATTGAGGACTGATAGAAGAGGATTAATTGATTACAAAATTAGTAGATACCATAAAAAGCATGTTTGCTTATTTTTAGTAAGTATTCTGATAACAGCTATTCTTTAAAGGATTTTTGCCATAATTATGTTTTATCTTCCTCATCTGTTTTATGGCATGGCAGGTTGTCATAGTTCATCCTCACTTATTAGAAATGTTAAAGGATAAGAGAACACCTGTCACCACCATTAGTAGGTTGTAGGACTAAGTGTTTCTCTGATAAGGTATCTTCTATAGAGGATGCATTTATTCAGGGTGACATCCACAAAGATGACAGGAGACAGATCTGTACCATTCTGAGATTTATACAGAAGAGGATAACATATAGCAACTGATAAGTGCTATAATGGAAATCTCAGAAGCTGCTATCAAAACCCTCAGGTCTCTGCTGTAGTTAAGTGATTGGACTGAATAATTGGTTTAACTTTTTTGCAGTTTAGCTCTTTATAGGCCTCTTAATCCAGTTGAGCCTGCATTTCTTTAATATCTTCAAAATTGATGGGAATAACAAATTGATTATTCTATAAACTACATTGTGAAGTGAAATATGGCCCTTTTACTCAGTGTGATAGAGCGACCCTACCAGCGTAAGCTAAGTAGTGTGAAATGTCAGTGTGATCCTCCCTTGTGAAGACATATGTGGGTTCCTTTAGGGCACTGAGAGGACATCTCTGACACAGCTGTCCCCATTCTTTACAGCCAGGAAGAATGGTGAGTGGTTTGGTGTATTCCTGTGCCCCAGCACAAGTACAGGTAGGACTACCCTCTCCAGTCTGCACCTGCAAGCACAAAGAGATTAGGTGTAGTGCTGAGACTTGCCTGAAGACACCAGTGAGGACTGAAGGCAGAAATAATCAAGCAGCTTTTGCTTCCCAATTTAATATTTTGTAGACTTCATTTTGAGTTTCCCTTGAAATCATCACCATGAAGTTCCGCTTACCTTGATGGAAAATTGAAAGTCACTAAATGAAAAATTTAAGTGTGTTAGCTTTCTTAGGGAAGAACCATTTTCCATGAAAGAAAATATCTTCCTGAATTTTTACCACAGTGCCTTCCAATTATTTACCTTTGTAATGTTTTAAGAAGTCTTTCCAGATGTTTGCCTTTACTGATAATAAAAATATCCGTTGACTTAAAACAACGAGCTGCCAGCTTCTATTCCAGGTAGCACCATGCTTGTGACTTACCCACCTGTGTAGCGATTATAGTGAGCATTTGTTAAATGAAAGACCTCTAAATTAAAGCTCAATCCTCTTGACGATATCATATCAGCTTCTAATTATTTCTAAGGACAAAGGTGCATAAACTAGACAGATTTCAAAACATCTGATGGAGAGGGTTAGATGATTCCCTTTCAGACATTTTCCTTAATCCCTGTTCAACTACTGACCCCGTTTCCAACATTAAAAATGACTGCTAGATGACAGTGCCATTAGCTCCTTCTATGCCAGTCTTTTATTTTTTTATAAAGAACTGGGGTACAGGCCAGAGATGCGGAGGGTGAGAGGATTCACCAGAGACAGAGTGGGGAGCAGAACAGGCAGATCCACTGCTGAGGGGAGCAGCGGGCGGGTCAGGAGAGGTCTGCCACGCCATGTGGTCACCTCCGGGGCAGGCAGGGATCGAACTCATGTGGAAGTGGCTTAAGCTTCTTTGTGCTGTGCTTTAACCTGCTGCGCCACCAGGGAGGGCCAACCAGTCTTTTATTTTTAACATCCCTACACATCGTCATGCCCATCAGCAGAAAAACATTACTAAACACATCTCATTCACCAGATCCTTCACTCATTCTCCCGCCTTGTTCAGGGCCATGTCCCGCCTATCATTTTTTCTTTCATATCTTTTTCATCTATACTTGCTTAATTTCTCACAATTTGTGATAACGCATTTGCCTGCAGTTACTACCCATTTTATAACCACCTTACCTAAGTCTCCAAAAACACTGCAGTTCTTTACTTTCTTGCTTACCCACTACTTTGCAGCCCATTGCACTCTGGCCTCTATTCACCTTTGATCCGAACTGCTGTGGGTAAATTCTGTGGCTAATAACGTATTTTGGTAATTTCAGTGCACATTTTCAGCTCTTTATTATATTGATTTCTCTGTTGCGTGTTAATTCTCCTTGAAAGTTTCTTTGACTTTTATGACACAATCATTTTGATTTTTTCTTGTGCTTTAATCATTCTTTCTGTCTCTTTTCAGTCCTCAAATACTGATGGTCCTCCTTTGATCTTCTACTTGCTGCTCTTAACTGATCATTTTCTTTGTTTAAGACCCCCTACAATCTGATGACTCCTAAAATGGATTTTCAGTCTAGACCTTTTCCCCAACCTTAAACTCATATAGCCAATTTCTAGGTGAATACTTTTGCCTAGATTTCCTCTGACTGCTTCAGGTTTGTATGACTGATCCTGAACTTCATTGTTTGCCCTAAAGGCAGTTCTCTGTCTGCACTGACATCTGCACCCCATCTGTGGCAGAACCAGGGATGCCTTTACCCTATTTCATTGCTGCTTTGGTATTTTTTTTTTTTAAGTATTTCCTAAGTTTTTCTCTCTACTGCAACTGCTAGTTCATTTCTCTCATTAACTTAGAGGTAGCTTTTTAAACTGACCTTTAAATGTCTCTCTGCTTCCTCCTGAAATCTGTCCTTCATTTAGCCAATAGAGTGAGCTGTGAAATGAAAATAAGACCATTTCACTTTATTGCATCACATCGTTAAGTGCCTCATTCTTGCTCCTATTGCTTATAGCAATCTTTCTCAAATTTGTTTTCATATATATGCATGTTTTAGAATGATCAGTGAGAATTTTTCAATTTTGTGTGTAAATTTGATAGTCATTTTACAAACCATAGCATCCTTATTTGTGTTTATGATGACACCTCAGTCAAAGAATGACTTAAAGTTACTAGGTTAACTCTTCACTGCTGTATTTCTCAGCCTGTAAGAATTTTCTAGAGGTTATAGAAATAATTCAAGGATACATATCTTTAGATACACACATCTGTAAGTATACTTACTTATGTATAAGGTATAATTGGGTGAATATATAACTTTTCTGAAGGGTTTGTTACATTATTCAAATTTAAGCTATCCTGTTATACACTCTACTTGTAAATTCTGAGGTCCTTAACATATATCTTTACATACTTACTTAGTGATCTCTGTACTAATTTCTCCATTTTATCCTCTTGCCTTATGCTTTCTACCAGTGAATATCAAACTACTTTGGGTCCTTATATACACAAACTTACCTTTTCTTTCTTAAGTTTGCTTTTATGATTATCCCTTTGGTACATAAATTTCTCTTGTTTTCCTTGAACCCCTACTTTTGTTTTATAAACCAGTTCTATAGTCATCATCTCCAAGATGCACCAAACTAAGTAGGATAGGTAGCTCAGTGTTTCATAGCGCCCTGAAAATAGAACTCTGGGCACACCTTACTGCTTTGGTTTCAGCATTACCTGTTGGAAGCCAGACTAGATGTTGACCTCTCTCAGGTCTTGTAGTATCACCTAGGTGTCTTTCAAACATGGCATGTAGTTGAATGGGAGATAATAATTTAAGAATACATGGGTGAATCCTCTTTATTTTCTACATAAAGAGCTTTTCCAGCCAGTTTAAACAATTACTTTCACAGTTTTTCCTTTATATAGTTTTCACATTACTGTTTTTAAAAATGTTAATATGCATTTGCATGCTTCACTTGGTATTTTAAATTAGAAAATCAAAGTCTAGATGTAGAAATTTTAACTACAGAAAGATAACACTTTTTTATTTCAGCAGACTTATCGTGGCAGACGCAGGAACCTAGAAGTTCTGAAAATACATTAACTTTCTTGGAAGATTCTGGGTGTGACTTATCCAATGAACAGAGAACAGAACCTTCAGAGCTGTCCCAGCATTCTGTGGAGAGCTGCACCCCTGTACTCCTCCCACCACTGCCTATTGTGAAAGGACATTGTGCTACTCTGGAAAACCCTCTGTCTTCTCACATGCAGTTCTTGCAACATCTGCTGCAACTGAAGTGCTTGACAGAATCAGGGAGTGTGCAAACAGACTTAAGCCACTTTGAAAACAACTCTTCCACAGTGTCCGATTCTGTTCTTCATTTGCTAGATGGCCTGATCACATTGTACCGTAAATCCAAATTTCCTTTTTCAAGCTTTTGGACAGAAGCTGTTGATACTATAGTTAAGCTGATCAATGATAGTAGTTTATCCAATTATATTTTTAAAAAGTGCTTCAAGAAGTTAGAAGAATTTGAGAAAACTCTACTACAAGTTATTTTAAAGAACAACCAAATAAATCGGGTAAGTGATAAAGTTCTATTCATTGAAATAATATATCAGTAGTAGTATATATTAGGAGATGTTTTGGCAGCCATTTTCGTTGGATAATGTCTATTGCTGTGGCTGTAAGGTCTGTCTCACTCCCTAGCTGGGTTCCCTTTGCAGCCAGCTGTATCCCTCCCTATGGCATCTGATTACTATGAAGTTGGTCTTTGCTTCAAGTTTGTGTCTTTTCTACTTTGAGGTATCTTTCCTGATTTTTTGTAGTTATGATGGGATTCTTCTCTCATTTTCTCCTGTGTATTTTTATTTCCTGTTGAAGGACTGTCAATACTTTTCAAGTAACTACTCACTATGTTCCCCAATCTATAACTTCAATGTGTTACATTCATCATGATGGATTACTTGTACTGTGTTTTTTTTTTTCCTGGCATTGACTATTGATGACTGGAGGTCAAAGAATATATTTTTTTCTTCTTTTGGAATTCCCCTTGAAAGTGGCATTATACCCCAAAGACCTCTGTAGTTGTGGAACACATAATGTATGACTTTATTCTGGGTCCCCCCCCCCTTTTTTATTACCATGGTTTAGAGATGTTGACTCAGGGATTCTTTGTTTACAAGTGACATTGAAGTAACCTGAAGTTTTTTTGTGGTTTGGCACACCATGGAGAATTTCCTTTTTGTATTAGTTTCTATCTTCTTCAGTATCTGATCCTTTGTTTGGGAAACTCTAGATAACTTCACTTTTTAATCCTTTATTAACTGAGTACAAAAATGTCACAAAGTAGACTAAAAGGTCTGTCTGAAAGATGTCTTTCAGTAGGAAATAGATGGTTGGATCACGTTTCTTTTGATACATGACTGCTTGGCAGTTTGTCCTCAGTGCTTACCTCCAGTTGTTTGGTCAGCTTTATCTTAATTTTCATAACTGACAGAATTTGAACAAATAACCTTATTTGTTGCACATACGTTTGTTCTTTATCAAGGTATCACTAGATCAAAAGTGCTGGTATCTTTACAAGTAATAATTTTGCCATTTGGAAAGATGAATTTTCTGTGTGGGAAAAAATATGCTTTTGCTAGAAATGGTTATTTAGGTGTTAAATATCACATTTTCTATGATATCTATGAAAAATATACTGTTTTTTACCTATCAATAAATAACTCAATTTCTTTAGACAGGTCTTATGATTCGGAATCTCCCATATACTAGCATTTTAAGTCTTGACTTTCACTGAAGGACTTCACTACACAAGAGTAGCCTTAGGAACTGTACACAAGTATATGGGGAAGAAGCTTGAGGTTGTGCACAGGTCTGAAATGTATCTTCCAAACCATTTGTCATGGTACCAACTGTTGAACAGTGCAACAGCAAGTGGATGAATATCTTTGGTCTTTTCTTGGAGATACAGTCATTGCATTCACAGAAAGTAGAATCATAAAATTGTTCCTAATGTTTATAATCAGTAATGATCTGTAAATGAGTTTTAATAATATTCTCTTCTGGAATTTTCTCTCTGGCAAGATAATTTTAGATTAAGTCATTCAAATTATCCTCATCATCTTCCTCTTACACTTAATTTTTAATATATTGAAGTAACATGTTTCAGGTGTGCATCATTGAAATCAATATTGTATATAATATACTAAGCTTACTGCTAAAAGTACAAGTCTATCATTAACAATGTAGTTTTACCCCCTTTATCTACTCTTCTTCCCCCTTTCCCTTCTGGTAATCACCAATTTGGTCTCATAATCAGGAAGATTGTTTAATTTTGTTAATTTTTGTTTAGTTTCCTTGGGTACCCCTTATGAATGAAATCTTAATGTGTTTGTCTTTCTCCATAGGTCTGTAACTAGATCTGTCCATGTTTTGTTGTAAAAGTACTTCATCTCTTTTATAGCTGAGTCATATTGCAAGGAATGAAAATGCAAATCAAAACCATAGTTGAGATCTCATTTTTCAAATATTTTAATGACAATTACCAAAAAGTCAATTACCAAATACAGTAAGTATTGGTGAGAATGTGGAGCAAAGGGAACTCTGTTTAGTGAAATTAATATGGACATTACTCAAAAAGTTCAAGATAGAACTGTGATGTGACCTAGTAATTCTGCTTCTGCTTACAGGCATATACCTGTACTTCTGTGTTCAACACTGCGATGATCACAATAGTTATGATACAGAAATAACCTAAGTGCCTGACCATAATGACTGGATAAAGAACTTGTATGTGCATGTTTCTGTATACACATAGGTACATCCTAATTTATGAAAAAATATGTGCATGAATGGACCTTGAAAGGATTATGTTAAATGAAATAAGTATGAAAAAGAAACAACCAAACAAATAGGTAAAACCAAACCCTTGGTTTGGATGCTGGCAACTATGGTGGTTACCAGAAGGAAAGAAAATGTTGGAATTGATGAAGGTAGATTGCTTAGTGGTAGACTTTTGGGGTGAGTGGTGTGTCATATACAGATAGTTGGTATAAGTTTGTGCATGTGAAACTTACTAAGTGTTGTAATTCATTATCTCAAAGTAATTTTAAGGTGATAGAGGTAAAAATACATCTTGAATATATTATGAAATTGGGGGAAAAAATGCCTGCCACATATACATTAAATTAAAAATCATCATTCCCACTTTATTCCCTGTATCCTGTTAGTGTGCTAGTTACATGAGGAATGAAATTATGGTTGCTAACCTGTTGACCTTGGGATGGAGGGATTACCCAGGTTTATTCAGTACTCATTAGGTTCCTTGTAAGTGAAAAGAGCAAGGCACGAAAGTAGTGTCCTCTTTAGAAATAATTTGAAAATGTTACGCTGCTGGCTTTAAAGATGAGGGAAAGGGTCATGACCCAAGGGATAACAGGTTGAAAAGGCAATGAAAAGGATTCTACTGAATGATTCTTTTCAGAATGATAGCAGGCCTTCATGCTCCGAGAAGTACCCATTTCACACTTCTAAACTGTAGCTGGCTAAGTTTGTGTTGTAAGTCATTAAGTTGACCCTTTTTTATATTTATTCAATATCTCTATGTGGATGTATAAGAGACATTTTTATTTCCATTTGATAGAAGAAAAAAATGAGGCTCAGTTTTGCCTTAGCCCACAGAACTAGCTAATAATAATTTGGATACTGCTACCTAATATTAGAGTTGAATGTGGATATTCTCACAGTTCTCAGATTTGGTTCCATTCAACCAGATCATAGGATACATTCAGATTATATAATTCTCCCAGATCCTACTGTTGTGGTGTATATGCTGCTTCCTAGCAGATTCTGGACTCATTGCTGCTTCTCTAGTCCAACCACCCCAATTTTGTAAGAAGGATCACTAAACTATGCTGAAAATCAGAGGCTCCTCTTGGACTTGCAAAAATAGTACATTCTTCACCATTGCCCATTAGACCCCTATCCAGACTCTTTGGTGTTAGCTTTCTCCATCCCATCCTGAGCACTCTCTAGTCCAATAAGACAGAAGTACTTTGTATTCTCTTTATCCCCTCTGAGCCATACTGCCAGTCCCTAGGCCTAGACTACCCTCCTCCCATATAGCTAGTTCTGCCTGTTCTTACAAATTGAGATCTAGGATTTGCTACTCAAAGAAGCCATCACTTTCTAGCTGATTGAGTGTTCCTCACATAAATTTAACATAGGACACTCTAGATAGTATAATCGCTACTGACTTGTTGCCATCCCCACCAGGCTTCAATCTCTGAGTCACATGCTCTGCCTCCTCAGTTTCTGTTCTCAGTGCAAACTACCCAGCTTCTGGGCACCCAGCCGTTGCCTGTGACAGGCGGTAGGCTAGGCTCCCTAGTTGGCCTTTGGTTGTGTGGGTTGCATAGGTTACATTTCTCCTGCGGCATTTAGCTTCATAGGAGGGTTACCTTTTAAAAATTTTGTCCTGGTAGCCTGACTCTTCTTTGGTCCCATGGCTAAAGAGAACAGGCTTTTGTTGTGGGGTTTTTTTTCGGTTTTTTTTTTTTTTTTTGGGGTTTTGTCTGAATTCAGCTGCATTTTGGGTTCGTTGGCTGTCCAAACTCCCAGTCTTTTAAATATGAGGCAAAAAGAAAATTGAAAGAATTTACCACTTTGTACTTCTTTTGTCTTAAGGTCCATAGCTGGTCTGTCAGTTGGTCTTCCTAGGTTTGTTTTCTATATATGCCCAGAGGATTTTAGTTGTAGTGAACAGAGAGAAATCAGTCCATTTCCTAGAAATGAAGACATGTGAATGTATTTTAACTGTACAGTATTATTCTATACAGTGCCATATAGCTGTGCTGAGGCAAACTACCCAGCTCTTTGGTACGAAGCTTCAGAGACCATCACTGCCAATCTTTGCTCTTATTCTCTCACAATTTTCAAATAAAACATGTGCCTGCTATTTCTCAGGTTATTTTCTATCTGTTCATTTTGTGTCATAGAAAATAAAAATTTATATCTTATATTTGCCTTCCTCAACATATCCTCAAAGGTTTGTGTGTAGAAGCACTCTTAGCAGCAGCTCTCTCTTACTGACATCATTATGTCAGTCTTTTACAAAGCAATTATATCTACCAGGTAGCTGAATCTTTTCATGGTGTCACTAATTACCCTGTCACAGCCACAGCTCCCCACTGAGCTTGGTAGAACTCCTGGATCTAAGAAAACCGATGGTAAGTTAGCTGAGTGTCATGGTGTCTCTTAGTCTGGGCACAGATCCCGTCCTGAAATGTTGCATCTCAGATATAAGATTTTTTATTTGGTGACTCCTAGACTGTCATTTGTGCCTGTATCACCAGTGATGTCCTCTTCAAGACATTTATGGGTAAATCTAAAGATATATTCGTGAAATCAGGTATCTTTTTTTCATCAGTGTGCCTCTCTCAGGAAAAACACATTACTAATACTACCATTTGTTATGTGTTCTCTGCTTTGAATTAGGGTATCATTTTTGTAATGACATCCACTTTTGCTCCTGTTCTGAGTTCCACAAAACCTTATCATCTGTTTTTGTCGGTTTCTT